GAGGATACGCTGTCGTCGATGGTGGCGAGAACTCGTTCTGGTCGCGGGAAGGGAGAAGATGGTAACGCTGCCGCTGCTTGTCGCGTGAGGGATGACGACGGCGCCGGTTTGGTGTTGGTCGCTGCTACCTTGACACCGCTGCCGCTACTGGTCGTCGCCATGTTCAAGAGAGGACTTGATTCCTCGCGATCGTCATTGGAGGGGCCGAGGGCATTGGCGGTGTTGGTTTGAGCCATTGTCTTGATTGGAGAAAGGGATATGGGAATGAGGACGGGCGTGAGGAGAGGCAATTGAGTGCTGAGGCTGCTGCGCCATTTTTTTTTTCTGGCCGCTGCTACTCGCTCGTTGGGGAGGGATGAGAACGAAATAGAGAAGGATCGTGTCTAGGGTTTTTTTTTTGTTTTTTCTTGGCTGCTACATGAATTATATATATTAATTAGTAATAATAATATAATAAATTATTATTACTAATTCACGGTTGCAACCCTTCGTACGTAACCGTTGACCCAACCGTTCCCGTATTTTGGTCGAACCTGAACCCAAAATTCGGGGGTGTTACATTTCCTCCACCCTTATAAAATTTCGTCCCCGAAATTTGCTCGAAACTCATCCTTCTATCAACACCCTTCTTATACTTCCTTCCCCCAATCGTTTATTCTTACCCTAACAACTTCATTACTAACCTTTGATCATTTATATTTCCTCAGTTGGTAGCATTCGTGTAACCTTGAGTGACTCACTGCCCTTTTCAAAAGTTTCCAACTTGGGCCCAGTACTTGATGTTGAACCTATCGAAGTCAAGGTATCACATTTCCTCCCCACTTATAGAAATTTCGCCCTCGAAATTCGTTCACTGTGATTACTCTAAGCATCGCTTGTGGTAATCCTTTTCACTTCGTGGATTTTTATTTCCTTTAACTTATACGGCATGACCTAAAATCCTTCTCTCCATTCCCTGCAACTTCAATGTTGTTGTGGCTTCTTAACCCCTCACATTACCTCGGCTGCACCTTGTACATATATAGGAACGATAACTATCCATTCGGTACATGAGAAGTTAGTGCCCCTCTCCAACCACAAGGTCACTGATGGCGGTTTATCTTCCATCTAGTCAGATGGTAAAACCCTTTTAACGTAACGCTCGTCTAGGGTTGACCTCATAGGTCACCTAGGTACTTGTATCTCCTAACTTTGCATCCCTTACTTTCCTCCTTGATTCCTCGTCTTATCCTTTAACCATAAACTGAGTGGTCATCTCCTCGTTACTTCTTGCTTAACTCTGAAATCTCATACCACTGCTTTTACTTCCTGTATGCATGAAAGGCATCCTTTGTATCCTTCGCTAGCTTGCTAACAACTATATGACTCCCTTCAAGAGTCATGAACTTCCCTTTGGCTTACTTGTTCACTCCTGGAACCTAACTTAGCACTTCCTTATCGCCAACTTTATTTGAAGTTCTCGTACTATCCATTCTGCTACTCTTAGACCCTAGCTGAAATTCCTCATACGGTTTACCCGTCCAATAAAGTTTTACCGAGAGATTGACACCTTTCACCAACATAGGCAACCTTGGTTCCACTTTGGGGTATTCTAGCAGGTTCCCTAAACTTATATCCCTCTTACTTCGTTACTCGTGACTCTTCATCTTGATATTACTCGCTAGTTCTAGATGTCCCTTGTTCTCGATGTAGTCATCTAGGTTCTCATATTCTCTTCTGTTGTTGCTTGTACTATATTTGGTCACCAACCTCTGTTGAGTATCTTCTCGTTGTTGTTTTAGGTCACAACTTCCAATGGTGGCTTGCCCTTGGTAACCTTTAACATAACTCATTCCATGTCTCTTTTGTTGATCGATCTTGTACATAAACTTAGTCTCTTAGTTAGGATTCTTAGTGGCTTAACTAAGCGTGCATGTTTCATCCTTAACCAGCTGTCTCCTCTGGAGCCCTCCTACTATGCCGCGCCCACTTAGAGTGGGGCACCTTGGATAAGGTAACTTCTCATTTTCCTCCTTCTCGGTAATGCTTTCCCTCATCGTACTCCACTATGCATTTTCTTGAACCCGAGTCACCTACACATATTCTCAATCCTTCATCGAAACTTCCATGTGCTTCCTCGAATTCTCTGCCATTCACTAGAACATTTATTGAATGTTCCACTTAACTGTCTATACTCGGTTGGCTTAATGACTTACTCCTATAGCTAGTTTCGAGACTTCAACTCTTAGCCCTCTAGTTTGAACTTATTACAGAAGTTCCTCCTTCTATCACCCATCATTTATTGGGTGGATAGGTGCTCCCTCCTTTTAGGATAGGCCAATGACACAAAAGATCATCACAAACTCTTGCATTCCCCTTTCAACGGTCCCAACGACCTCGTGACCTTTCGTGATTTGGGTGGTTTGTATGGCCTCTTATATCCCATTCCATCCTCTTTCTAGCTCGGCGTTGTCTTGGTATCCAACTCACGCACTTCTGAGAAGTGGTTCTCTATTCGTGCTACCATCTACTAGCTAACTGTTATTCTCTCTCACAATCCATGTCTTTTCTTATGTATTGACTCCCCACTGTCTTCTACCAGGCCCGCTTTAGACTTTGGTGGCACTTTCCTCCACGTCTCGTCCACTGGTGGTCGTACTGAGACCATAACTCTCCCTCTACATCATTTATCTCATTGCTTGTCTTGTTCCTTTTAAAGGCTTGTCAGCGGCCTAACTCCCCAGGGTTATGCATCCTCTTCTCCAGTGACGTAGTTCATCTATAAGGGTTCCTTTATCATCATAGGTAAACGAACCTGCCTCCTCTCCACCCTGACCTATTGACTTCCTAACGTCCTTCCATCCTCCCTGTAACTTACTTATTACCTCACTTGCTTCATTTATAATACCTTAGCTTTTCTTGAAGCCTAAGCTTTCCACTACACCTTGTCACTATGTTGTAATAGCGTCGAGCCATCAACAACTAAAATCAGTTGGGAGACTTCTCGTGGTACCTCTTTGATTCTTGACACTTTGCTTTCTCGCCACTGCTTAGGGTCAAGGACCCTGAAATCCTCCCATCATTACCGCTACTGACATCTAGTGACTGTAGCTCTTTCTTCGGAGATTCACAGTTCTCCTATTTGTATGCTTTTGCTTACTAGATCCTCTCCTTGCTGCCTAGTAGTAGGATCCTCGTACTACTCCTTCAACTCCTTCAAAATCCTAGAGCTATTCCCTTACGATTGGAACATCTTCTATTAGAATTTTAGTTATTTACCTTAATACGATTAGAGTAGACTGGAGATTATATAAACTCTTAAAAGAAATCTTGACTCGCTTTCCTTAACTTTAAAACATAAACCTTTAAAATTGAGACCGATATTCCAGTATTCCTTGGAAACCAAGATATAGAGGAAAACAAGGCTCTGATACCAAAATGAAAAACCCTAACTCGGCCGGGTGCTACTTTTACTAAAATGCCCTTGATAAATAAAATGCTCAAATCTTAAATTGCAGCGGGAAAAATTTTCATAAATAAAATACTGAAAACACATACTTGTAGCTCAGAGCAAAGCCCTAACACGTGGGCAAAATAAACTCAAACTTTAAAATCTCAATCTGATCTCCAGTCTATACTCATAATCACAAAATGTAAATAACTAGGTAGTCTCTATCGTTGCTGCTACTGAAAATCTTAACTAGGCATCCTCCGTGACGCTTGCACTGCCCTCCTCTAGCTGGTTGCTCTCAAACTTTCCCTCTCGGACTCGCTGCTCCCTAATTGCTCCTCTAGCTAGCTGTTACCGATCTAGTTCTCGCTCATTCCCTTACTAAAGCCTGGTGAGTGAGTTGGGGTCAGTCTACGAACTTACGTTTTAAACTTTCTAATAATTTTGCAGTTCTTCTCAAACACTTAAAAACTCAAACTGAGGGAAGTTATTTGTCCTTCCATTCTGAAAAATCTTAACTCTTAAACTTTGAGGGAGTTGAAGTTACTCTCCTCTCTTAAAACTCAAATCTTGACTTAAATACCTATATGACACGGGGATCCCTCACTAGCTAGTCCGGTTGCCAACTCATACGCATGAGAAGCCATTCAGGCTTTCCTTAAACTTAAACTTAGTTAGGGAAGTTGTAACGATTCATCCCCCTAACATCTTAAACTTATCGTGGTGGCTCTTCACCACGATTCTCAAGGGCATAACTGCTGCCCATCTTAAAAGTCTCAAGAGCATAACTGCTGCTCTATCTCAAAAAGTCTCAAAAGGAAACGGACTGGCGCTAGTGACTAAAAACACTTAAAACGACTTCACCTTCTTGAATGTGAGTTACTTCTTAAAAAGAACTTGCTTCTTAACTTTAATAATAACTTATAAACTTAAAACTTAAATTTAAATAAGAACTCATGCACATTCACATCAAGCATAGGTCAAACAAAATCACATATCATCAACCATAAGCACGATCAAACAACGACATTCACTTCATCGAAATATTCAAGACTTGTAATTCTTGAAAGAACACGTAAGGTGTAGAATTTACCCCCTTTACACTCATCTCGAAAAGATGACTCTGCTTCGACTCTGAAAAATTCAAATATCCCTTCTTTAACATTCCCCTCGCTTCTACGATTCCGTAGGCGCAGACGGTTCCTCGTTTGGACGTCAATTGATCGAGGTATGACCAAAATAAACATTCTGTCAGCTTAAAAGTTCTAGGTACCGAAATTGCAATTTTTTTCCAGTCAACCCAGTTGACCATGACCCTGCTGTAAGATTACCGAAATGAGCCACAAACTATTTGAATTGTCCGTAGTGGTACCTGAACTTGACAGATTTTCATCCAAACTTTCGATGATCGTTTCTCCCTTGTCTAACGTCAGAATCCGATTTTGTCGACGCGGTGATGCTCCTGGGATTGCCCTCTACGAGATGATACCCACCACTTGACGAATGGTCGAAGTCGGCTACACCGGGCCGTCGATGGAGCTCTAACACGTCGGACGATACGCTGTCGTCGATGGTGGCGAGAACTCGTTCTGGTCGCGCGAAGGGAGAAGATGGTAACGCTGGCGCTGCTTTTCGCATGAGGGATGACGACGGCAGAGGTTTGGTGTTGGTCGCTGCTACCTTGACACCGCTGCCGCTACTGGTCGTCCCCATGTTCAAGAGAGGACTTGATTCCTCGCGATCGTCATTGGAGGGGCCGAGGGCATTGGCGGTGTTGGTTTGAGCCATTGTCTTGATTTGAGAAAGGGATCTGGGGATGAGGACGGGCGCGGGGAGAGGCAATTGAGGGCTGAGGATGCTGCGCCATTTTTTTTTCTGGCCACTGCTACTCGCTCGTTGGGGAGGGATGAGAACGAAATAGAGAAGGATCGTGTCTAGGGTTTTTTGTTTTTGTTTTTCTCGGCTGCTACATGAATTATATGTTAATTAGTAATAATAATATAATAAATTATTATTACTAATTCACGGTTGCAACCCTTCGTACGTTACCGTTAACCCAACCGTTCCCGTATTTAGGTCGAACCTGAACCCAAAATTCAGGTGTTACAGACGGGATGATCAGTTTCACTCCTCAGAGCTCTGCCAACGCGTTTTCTGGGGGATGACGAACCTGATCACGAAATTCATGATGGGGTTCGTTCTCGGTGGTGATCAGGTGACACTCCAATTGTTGGGGGAATTACATTAAGGCATGGTCAAGTCCATTGTGTCTATTCTTGCCAGAATTCCTCTCGTGCTCTGCTACATTCTCCGGCGGAGCAAGATTGTTGATCTTCACATTCAACTCGACTATTTGCCAATTGATTTGGTCGAACTAGGCCTAAAACATTGCGACGATCGATTGCAAAGTCTCAATTGCATTGATCGACTGATCACTCATGGTTTGCTCGTCTAATCGAATCTCGTCGTCAGACTCAGATTCTTCCGGCTTCCGCAGGGCAATCGGGTCATTTCTTCTTGTCATTGCCATAACAGGTAAATCCTTATTCTTCCTGGTTGACACTGTGTTGAACCAGGCTCATAATGCCACTTGATGAGTCATAGATGGGTGTCTTTTGATCAGAGTAAGCAGCCTTCTCAATTCAATGGAATTGATTCAAGAACACACACAAACAGGGTAAGATTTGCGTGATTGGAATGGAAACTTTTGTGCAACTTTTGCAAAGGGAAAGAGGCTCAGAGGTTATAGGTCAATGCTTGGCCAAGATCAAGGTGTATAACTGATTGATAAAAGCTCAAAAACAACCTAGAATTCTCTAAGTTGTTCTCTCAAACTCACGTAGCAAAAGCTGGATGAATCAAACTAGAGTTTGTATTCAAATCAACGAAATCTAAGTGTTACAATGCAATTGAAAGGTTTAAATAGAGCTAGTCTAGGTAAACAAACAATGAAAATAAGTCTAAACACAATCTAACTCGAAATCAAAGCTCACAAAGGAAAAGGAAAGTAATCATAATTCGAGAAGGATTTAGATTTGCAAGATTGAGTGACAGGCCTTCATACGATATTGCAAGGGTTCGTTCGAAGCCTTCAAGGTAAGCATTCGATCAGACAATCCCTTGTCTTTGTAGAAGAACATGAATAATTTCATGTGGCATAGAGCTCCTGGATCGATTCTCAACCATTCTTCTCGAATAAGGCTCGCTTCACGAACACGTCTCCATATTGGCCATATTCTGGCAGTTTCCCAGTTTTGAGGTAGCAACTTGAGGGCTTTAGGAAATAGCCTTAATGACTTGATTTTGATCCTTCAGTCCTTCCTACATATAAACAAACATCTGGACTTCACTTCCAAGCCTTCTACTTGAATTTCCATTAAGCCAATTGTCAAAAACAGGCTTGCAAAATAGGTACCCTGAAAGAGAATAAACACTTAGCCAAATTTGAGGGTTCTTGTTAGTAGGTGAGATTGCGTAATGATCCATTTAGGATCATATCACACTAGTCTGGCTTCCGGTGAGTATCTTTGATGTGACATCGCCTTTTGCTGTCTTTCGACCTTAATTGCGAGGTGGACAACCTCATATTGCTCAACAAACGTATGTACCTAGAAGTTAATTGGTATGTTGTTTCCTTGCTTCTTTAAATTGGGTCGAGTGGATTTTAGCTACTTAATTTTGAGAAAAGCTCTGAAACTCGATATTCAATTCAAGGATATGATGCTCAATACATTGATAGATGGGCTCTGTAAAGTTGGAAAGGTAATCAAGGATGCAAGGATTGTCGGCTATGGATTCAATGCAAAAGTATGGCTAGCGAGGTAATTCGACGAATGAGGGATTTCTTCAAGTAAGGAATCGAGGAGTCATCTTTTCGAGGTGAGTGTAAAGGGGGTAAAATCTTTGTAGAGGTCCTTTAGATTATGTCTTTTATTTCACGTTATGTCGTTAACTTACGAGTTATGTGTGTTAACTTATTTGATGTATCCCACCGCCTACTGAAGGTGGAGGCATGCTTTGTGCTTATGTGTGTGTTGGAATGTGTGTGATGTTATTTGGATGATGGTATTAAATTAAGGGAACCCCCGGGCAGTTGGACCACTAATGGATGTGGTAGTTAATCAAATTACTGTTGGACGGCAAGACGTAACGCAGTAGTTGACCGGGCATGGTGGACGCAAGACACATCGCAATACCATTGCTTTTGAGGTAGAGACATCGGATGGCGAGACGTAATGTTTTGGTCCCTAGTTTTATGTGTATGAGTGAAGGATAGGATTAGATAACTCCTATAAGTTAATTAGAGAATGATTTATAAAGGGTGAAAGCGAGAACGATTTTCACATAGGAGGTGAAATTCAAATAATGTTAATTGTTAAGGAAACGCTTAAGGAAAGGACCTTAGGTTGTGGTAACGATGAGACTGACCCCTTCTCACTCACCAGGTAGAGCAAGGGTTAGAGGTTAGTATCTTGAGAGGAGATAGGGCGAGACGAATCAGCAGTGAATGTGTCTCGGGAGGGATCATAGTCAAGAGTGGAAGCTGCAACTGTGTAGTTGTTTTGTTTTATGATTATGAGTATGAAGTGGAGATTCAAAGTTGTATTTTGAGATTTATAGATTAGAGTTGCCCAACTGTTTAGGAGCAACTGTCTTATATTTTTGGTTAAAAAGTTTCAAGGCATTACAAGTAGTCTTCAATTGACCTTGTTCCCTGACGAATTTGCTACAAAGATTCATGCAGCTCACGTTGATAGTATCCAAGTACAAAGCGCTCCCTCATGAGACTTCTCAAATCAGCCCAAGTCTCAATTTTGGGCTGCGAATTCCTCCGGCGTCAAATTTGGACCTATTCCCACCACTACACAGCATAGTCTGTGAATTCGTAAGTTGCAAGCAGAACCTTCTGCAATTTTGTGTAGTTGCCACACTAGAATAATAGCATCACCTTCCTCTCTAAATCTAGGTAGCTGAATGTGTTATTAGCGTCTAAAAAGGCAGGGACAGCCAATTTAACTCCCCGCAACTCTATAATCATAGTTTTTTGTGGACGTCGATCATGATCACGAAATTCGTGTTTGCGATCTTGGCAGTCGTGATCCATTATACCTAGTCAACGTTCCAAGTTTTGAATACTCTCTACCAGTGCATGATCACCTCCTATTGAGAAACCTAAGGATCGATTAACTGCTAGAAATTCTTCCTACCCTATTGTATTCTCCGGTGGAACAGGGATTTCCAGCCCTATTGTATTCTACAATGGAATAGGGACAATCACTTTCAAATTCAATTCGGCCAGTTGCCAAATGATTTGATCGAACTGAGTCTGAAACGTTGCAATAATTTATTGCAAAACCTCAGCTGCATTGACAGGCTGTTCACCCATTGTTTGATTGTCCACTTGACTCTTGTCGTCAAACTCTGATTCTTCTGGTTTCGGCAGGGCAATCATGTCCTTCTTTCTGGGTCTCGATGCAACTGGTCGATTGTCCTTCGTCGTCTTGGCCATTGTGTTTGTACTAGGATCTAATACCACTATATGAGCCCTAGATAGGGTCTCATTTGATCAGAGTGAAGCAGCTTCTTAATTCAACGAATTGAATTGAATTCTAACAAGAACACAGGAAAACAAGGTGGTGGATTTGTTGTTGGATACAGAACTTCTCGTGCAATTTTTCACATGGAAGAAGGCTTGATATGTATAAGTCGATGCTGGCCATGATCAATGGGGATCAATTGATCTATACAAGCTATTGAATTCCTCGGCAACGTCCAAGCAATTCAACCAACAAACTCAAACTTGAATTTAAGCTTGGTAAAAATTAACTTACAATGTAATGGAAAAGAGTTTAAATAGACCTAGCTACGTTTACAAACCAAAAGGCAATCCTAATTACCATTGAACATGAAAAAAAACACACAAATCCAAAGAGGAGTAGTAATCCTAACCCAAGAAGGATTCGGATTCCTTGGCGCAGTCTTCCAATCGTGGCTTTCCATACAATCTTGCATCAATCCGTTCAAAGCCTTCAAGGTGCGTGTTCACTAATCGAGTGCCTTGTGGTTGTAGAAGAAACGTTTGATTTCATGTGACACAACCCTCTTGCCTCGACTCTCAATCCTCCATCTCGAATAAGCTTCCAAAGTTGGGTACCAAAACTAGTTCCCATACTTAGCCAAAATCTGGCAGTTTCCTGATTTTGGCATAGCTACTTGAGGGCTTGGGAATAAGAGCTTAATGGCTTGTTTCTGATCATCCAAGCCTTCAGTCATGCAAATCAACACTTGAACTTCATTTTGAATCCTTCTATTTGCATTTTAATCGAGCCATTGGTGGTAACCAACCCTGCAAAGTAGGCAACCTAAAACAGAACAAACACTTATCCAATTTTTAGTTCCTTTCTTGCTAACTTGGGTTGCTGACTCGTGCGGAATACCACAATAAAATCTCTCCTAAGGTCCAACTATAAACCTTAGTCGGGTGCATTACATGATAAGTATGTTTAAATATCAACCCGGGTCGGTCCGTCTACCCCTACTTCAGTCAATCGAATCATTATCTAGCAACAAGGTTTTGGTTGAAAAGTGCTAATTAAAATAAAGCAAGACAAAAGTGAATGGTTTTGAAAGCTCTTTTGTGAGAAGGATTACTGGGGGGTCGCTTCCCCCTAACTAATACCATGGTATGTGAACTAAAATGATTGCTATGGGCAAGGTGATCGCGAACCGCTAGGGGATGCAAATATGGTCGTTGAACACACTCATGATTGCTAAACCGAGGAA